CTCCATGCCCCCCGACAGCAGTTCTGGCCCCACAGACAGCGGAGCTGGGCTCAGCTTGCCCCTGCCTTCGGGGGCCGCATCGCTCGTCCCTGGACTGTGTTGAGACCCTCCACGTGCGCCTCCTCACCCACCGTCCACCCTGCATATGTTTGGCGTTCAGTGGCGTTCAGATGACTCTTGCTAGGGCCCAGCTTTAACCTTGCTTTCCCAGCTCAATAACCCTCAGTGGCTCCTCATTGCTTTGCAAATTAAGAACTGACCGGTCTTCTTCAGCTCAGCACGCAGGGGCTGCTGAATCCGTTTTCCCTCCTTCCCGGCAGCTGTCTCATCGAAACCCAACCCTCTGGCTTCCTAACGTGCTCAGTTCTACATCCTCTCAGCAAGCAGAGACCCATCGCCCCAGACAGCCAGGTTTCCCTTTATACCCGTCACAGCATCACGTGTGTAAAGGTCAGATGAGACCCAGCGCTGGTGAAGGTGTGAGGAAACAGACAGACAGCGTTTGTGAATGATTCTGAAGTGCTTTGAGATGGTGAGTCCGTGTAAATGCCCAGCATTTCCATTCTTGGGCATTCATCCCCAGAAAAACTCAGGCTCCTACAGGAAGACAGACCAGTCTGTTCATTCCAATGTTAATTGCAAAGGCGGAGAGTCGGAAACAGCCTACGGATACATCTTCCAACAGGGGACTCAGCTGCCCTGTGGCTGGACTTTCCTCAATGAGTGCGGTGGTGTTTTTTACTGTTCAATGTGACAATGGGCTTCCACATTCTTCCTACTAAGGTGGGTCCTTGTCCCTTACCTTGAACCTTGATGGGAGCTGTGACTGCTCCAATCAGTAAGTACAGCAGAGAGTTCTCTTCTCTTCTCTCTTGGTCTCCCACCTCCTCCACTTGCCCTGGGAACTGGTGCTGTGAGGAGGCCCAGGTCACGTAGGGAGGCCCCAAGCAGGGGTTCCCTGAGTGCGCAGTCGGCATCAGCTTTTGGATTAATGAGCACAGGGGCCTTGAGAAGAGTCCACCGCCCCAGCCCCAGCTTTCAGTCTTCCGGAGGAGACCCAGATTTCAGGAACTGGAGAGAAGCCGTCGCTGACCCGCAGTGAGCATCGAATGCATGGCTGTTTTGCACGAGGAAGGTTTGGGGAAACACGTGACTGAAGCAGAACAGCGGCACGCGGGCCTGCTGGGTTGTGCAGAGAGCTGAGAGAGGAAATGAGTGTTGCCAGGGCTGCTGCGCTGTTGACCTCATACGCTTTCAAAATGACAAGCGGTGGAGGTGTGAAATGTGACACTTTCTACAAACTGAGACACAGAGCAGGTACGTGGCACAGCACAGGTGAGATCAGGACAGGAAGGATTGGAATGAGGAATGAAAGAAGGAAGAAAATCAGGTAAAACTTATTTAAAATGGATGTTCTCTTAAGCTCCCAAAAGAGTTGATTAAAAGGGAAGAAAACACGCCTCCCGGAAGCTGCGGATTATCCCCACTCACTCCTCGGCTCTGATACCCAGGACATTTCTGGCTGCCAGCCCCCAGCGAGGCACTGGAAGACCGGTAAAGAAGGCTTAGGCCCTGTCAGGTGGCTCCCTGTCCAGTTGAGAAGGGCACTGGGGTCTCTGGAGGGTGTTTGCTGGAGGTTCCAAGGTGGTTCAGGATACAGGGGAGAGGCACCGCAGGCGCAGGAGTGCAGGGTGCCCAGGGACAAAGTGGACAGAGAGGGGTGGGCTTGGTGGTGGACTGCCTGCAAGGAAGGATGGCTGTGGGTTGGGGGCATGGGGGGTGCCCCCACAGAGACCAGAAGGCGACAACCTATTCACTTTGTGAGGCTTTGCTTTTCTGGATAGGGGAGTCCTTCAGTACCCAAATCCTGACATGCCCAGCGGTGACCAGAAATCTCGGACCGTGGTCCTGGGAAGGCCAGAAACCCCAGTTGAAGGCGGCGGCTTCCCGAGGTCAGTCCCAGAGGGCGAGGAGCGCGCATCGCGACCTCCCCCTGCCTTGCCGAGACTGTCCTTGGGCTGTGAACTGCCGACCGCTCTGACCTGCGGCGCATCGAAAAGCATCAAGCCGCCAAGGCAGCGATTCCCGCTTGCGCCTCTGCCAGCAATTCTGTCTCCCTGCTGGGCTCGCCACTCACCTGGACGCAGGGCTTCGCTCCTGACCGGCCCCGCCAACCTCACAGAGCACGGAGGCAGTGGCCTGGGCAGTTCGCGCGCCCCGGTCCGACCCTGCGCCTTAACGTCAGCGATCTGCCCAATTGCCTACACCCGCGCCGCGCCGCCCAGGCTTTGCCGCTGCAGTTGTCGGGAAAGTCGCTGGGACCCGGCGTGGGAGGCTCAGAGTGTGCACTCGCCAGCCTCTGCCCGGCGCGCGCTCCCCGCAACCCCCAGACGGCAGGCGCCAGGGGAAAAGGGCCCGCTGTCCTCGCTTCGGGTCCACCGCCCCGCTTCGCCCCCAGCTTAGGCCCGGCGCCGCAGCGAGTGGAAGCGCCATTCTCACGCGCGCCCCCAGTGACAGTGGGAAGACACCCGCGAGCGCCCTGCGCCTGGAAGTGCCCAGCCTCTACTCCCAACAGCCTGGAACGGTCAGGGACGCCTACTGTCCGCAGTTATAGGATCAGAGACGCGAGGCGCCTCCTCCTGGGCCACACAACCCTGGAGCGGAGAGAATTAGAACTCAGACTCAGAGGAAGCCTGCCCCAGGCCTGAGGGAGATAAACTGAACTGCCACTAACCTAGACAGGCTCGTGGCAGGACTGGCAGGAGTGGTCAGGCGCCACTTACAGGCCCAGGGGAGCTTGCAGGAATTGGACAGCGATCGGAAAAGCACTCCTCCCCTTTGTCTTTTTATCTGGCCCTTCTTCTGGCCTCAGTTTCCTCATCTGTCAAAAGCGCCCTTGTGTAGACGGTATCTGCCCGAAGGCTAGTGATCCAAACGAATCAGGCGCTCTTTCCCAATTTCCTTGGTCCAGTCCCCTCTGGCTGGGGTACCCCTACTCCCTGGAGTCTCTCTGGCCCTGGACACCCCAGGGAGCACGGCTTGGGAGACCTCAGCTCCCCGCTAAGATCCCAACTCGCTCCGCTTTGGCTTAGTGGCCTCATAGACAAAATGGGGAGATGAGCCCTCATCTGCGTGGCTGCCTCCAGGCTAAACAACCCGGGGAGTCCCTAACATTGATTATTTTTGCTCCTCCTGGGCTAGGATGCCGGGGCAAACGAGATGGGCTGAGCATCTTGTCCTAGACTCCCCAGAAAAGTCCTCCCACCCGAGGTCGCGGCAGCCACCGAGCACTCGGGGTTCTTCCTGGCAGCCGCCAGAAAGCGCACCCAGGACGCGCTCCCGAGAGGTGCACCGTTTTGTCTCTGCTAACCCAAGCCGGGAGGGCCCCGCTGGCTAGGCCTCGGCCGCTCGCGGAGCACCGCCGCCCCACCAACCCGCCGGACTCCGGGGCATCGGTGCGGGGCGGACCCGGAACTCCAGGTTTGCCGGAGCCAGGCTCACCTACCCTCTGGGGGAGTCTCTCCTGTTTTCTCTCGTCAGTTTTCTCCGCTGAAAAATGGGGGTGATGCTCCCTCCACCGTGCTTGTTTGGAAGAATTAAGCAAAGCGGAAGCCCCAGGCCTGCGGTCACCTCTGGAAACGCTGGCGGCACTCGGATGGACGGGAGCCCGGGGCTGGCCCTGGGAGGATGAATGTATCGCTCGGAAATAACCCGCATCGGGTGAAGCCAGCTCCACCCGCGCGTCCGCGCAGCGATCTACTGTAGGTAAGCCCGAAGTTTACCCCGGAGCGGAGACAGCTCCAGGGTGCGTTCTGTTCCCGAACTTCCAGCTGCAGAAATGGGAGGAACTCCCCACCCCTTTAGAGCGAAGAAACGGAGCCACGACGAGGCATGGGGCCTGCTCCCGAGACCTCCGCCCAGGGCAGAGGCTGAGCCGGAAGCTCCCACCCCCTTCGAAGGCCCGGGCTTCCCCGGGAGAGGGCGGTGGCGGAGCGGGCACGGCGAGGACCGGCGTGACATCGAGCGGGCTGCCCGCGGAGCCCCGTGGTTGGACTTCCTCACCTACTGGTACTGAGCCCGGGAACTGGAGAGTTCCACCGAACTACATTTGGCACTGAAAGCATCTTTCATGAAGTGCGACTATCGAGCTATGCCACGCGTTCGCAGTCGTGTTTGGGCAGTGTTCCCATTTTTAAATGACACGCGGGGTCTAATAAAAACATGTGGCCCAGCCTCCGGCAGTTTCCTGGGAGCCCCGGGGTCCCCAGGCCGCCCTCCACACACGCACAGCCATCCACACGCACACTCGTGCACACACCACGCGCGCGCACACGCAGTTACTCGCGCGCGGTCCGACACCCTCCTCGCGGCGGGGTAATTACGACTCCCCCGAGCGGTGATTGGCCAGCCCGTTCCTCCGCGGGGCCCCACAGCCAATGGATGGCCGCTCAGCCCAGGCCCCGCCCCCCCCGGAGCGGGTGGCGCGGGCCGGGGGAACCGATCACGCGGGGCCGGACCCGGCGCGACACCCGCCCCCCCCCCCCCCGCGCCCGGGGCCACCCGCCCTCGGCTGCGCCGCCGCCCGCGCGCTCAGGTCCGGGCGGCGTCTCCCGGCAGCGGCCGCACTCGGGGTCCGCGCGGCGTCCCCGGGACTCAGCGGGCCGCCCGCCCGGCCCAGCCCGCGCCCCCCGCCCCCGCTGGCCCCTCCCCCTCCCCGCCCCCAGTGAGGCCGCCCGGGCGGCGACCGGGACCGCGACCTGAAAGGCGAGCCAGGCGGCTGCCCGATCGGCTGTCGGCGCGCACTCGCTCCTGCCCAGCCCAGCCCGGAGGCCGCCGCCTGCCCCGCGGGGCCCGACGCCAGCGCTCCGGGCAGCGGCTCCGGGGTCGGCCCGCGCGTGCGCCGGGGAGCCGCGCGCCACCATCCCCGGCGGGGACCGGGGTCGGTCGCGCCCGGGGCGACCCCGAGGAGCCCGGCCGAGCCCGAGCAGCCCGTGGCCGCGATGCCTGACGAGCTGACGGAGCCCGGGCGCGCCACGCCGGCCCGCGCCTCCTCCTTCCTCATCGAGAACCTGCTGGCGGCCGAGGCCAAGGGCGCGGGGCGCGCGGCGCAGGGCGACGGCGGCCGGGAGGACGAGGAGGACGGCGACGACCCGGAGGATGAGGACGCGGAGAAGGCGCGGCGGCGACGGCTGCAGCGGCGGCGACAGTTGCTCGCGGGCACGGGGCCCGGCGGCGAGGCGCGGGCCCGGGCGCTGCTCGGGCCGGGCGCGCTGGGCCTTGGTCCCCGGCCGCCCCCCGGTCCTGGGCCGCCCTTCGCTCTGGGCTGCGGAGGCGCAGCGCGCTGGTACCCACGGGCGCACGGCGGCTACGGAGGTGGCCTCAGTCCTGACAGTGAGTGAGGGCGCGGGGAGGGTGGGCCGGGCGGCGGGGCCCGACTTCCTCCCTGCTCGTTCGCTCGGGGCCTTCGGACTCGTCGCCACCGGTTCTGGGCCATCTTCTCCCTTCTGTGAAACGGCGTCTGGGCGTGTGGGGCCCCCGCGGAGCCACTTGCTGGGCGGGTTTTGAGGCCCACGCTCCGGGGCAGGAGCTCCGCTCGAGAGGAGGCTTTGCAGGCCAGAGCTTCACTCATCGCCGGCTCCTCGGGTTCCAGGGAGGCTGGGGACCGGGGACAACAGGGGGGCCAAAGAAAAGAGAAAGGAGAGTGGAAGAGGACGGAGAAAACTGCAGGAGAAGGCCAGAGAGGCTGGGAAAGAGAATGGGAGGATTGAGGAAGAAAGGAGGGTGCTTCGGGAGGGAGAGTGGCGGGGAAGGGAAGATGCTGGGAAAAGAACCCGAAGAGTGAGCCCAGAGAGAAAAGAGAAGAAAATATGGAGGGAAAGGGAGGCACAATAGCGTCAGACAGGGGGAAATAAACAGGGGCATTGAGCAGAGGGCCCACTGTTGTGGGGGTGGGGCCGGGGAGGGGAACCTTCTAACGCAAGAGCTGTGACCCCCAAAGCTCCTGTTCCTGTGTGCCCACCGCAGACAGCCTGGGACAGGGGTCTGGGCCTCCCTCTTGGTCCTGGGTGGGGTTGGGGGGGGACGTGGGTTGTGCCAGGCAAGAAGGGAGCCTGCTCTGAAGCCCCCGGTCCAACCCCTCTCTTCTTTTTCTGCCCCTCCCCCTCCCTGCCTTTGTTCACTGCTCAGGGCTTCAGACTGGGGCTGGGGGTTTCTCAGCCCCAGAACCCATCTGCCCCCTTGCTTGGGTATCTGACCCCTGCGTTCTGCTTCCCCTTCCCAGGGTTCTAGGGTCGCTGCCCCTCTTTCGAAACCTCCCTTTTAGGAAGACCCCTAGCAGGAAGGCCAGGAAAGCCAGTCCAAGGCCCCCCAGCCCCAGCTTTGCTGGACCCCCACCCCCAACACAGCCTTTGGACCTTGAGGCCAGCTGAGACGTGATCCCTCTGCAACCTCCGGCTCTGGGATCCATTCTGTTCTTCCTGTGACTATCAGTGTGTGCTGGGGACTAAGTGGCCTCCCACCCCCACTCACTCGGTAGATAACCATTTCCCTGACGTGGAGTGACCCCCTTGTAAAAGGACCCACATCTTGGCGCCCAGACTCACGAAGTCCAGGCCCGCAACCCTTTCCCGTAGACTGGAGAAAAGCCTCCCCGGTTTCCCAGAAATCAAGCGACTCCCTGTAGTGTCCTTCTGGGGGAGATTCTGGAAAGGGTTTCTCAGGGTGAAATTTGTTCTTTGCTCTTCCCTGGGGTACATCCCCTCCTGCAGCCCAGGTGGCACCTCCACCCCTGCAGAGGCAGAGCCGGCTTATTTCGTGCCATGCGGGTTAGGGTCCCACTTCCTCGCCTGGCAAGCCAGCCTGGTGCCTTGTGTCAGCGTGTGGGCTCTTTTGAGTTTGGGGTCTTGGGGCATTGCGGGGAGGCAGGGACTCCCCAGACCTAGTAGCATGCACCACGACCTGCTACCTGACTCCTCTGTGGGCACCGTGAGGGAACTCGCCATGGGGACTGGCCATGTAATGAGTGGGACGTGCACTCCTTGGGCACCAGGCGCAGAGCTGGGGCCATGCACGGCAGCCCGGCAGTGTGCGTGCTCCTTACCTGGGCGTGCAAACGCCGCAGTTACTTTGCAGGCACACACCAGCCGAGTGAACAGCCTTCTGAGGGCCCAGGGCCAGGACAGACTCCGCCTCGACCTCCGACCTGTCAGCCAGGGCCTGCCCTTTGCATGGGAGGCTTCAGACCAAGGCAGAAAAGCAGTGGGCCCGAGTCAGCCTCGGGAACCTGGCAATAGGAGGGCTGCCCTCTTCAATTCGGGCAAGGGCTTCTGGGTCCCAGCTGGCGTCTTTAACCCGACATCGTCCCTTGCCAGCCCTGTCGGCCTCCTCTTTTGCTGGGAGATGAGCAGGGGAGCTTGGCACTGGGAACATGAACTCAGATACCCCCTGTGAGCTTCTATACCGCCAGACCCATGAGGCTGACCCTCCAGTCTAGAAGGTGTGGGGGGCAGGCTCATGCTGCGTGATGCTTGGAGTGGCATGTGCCTGTGTTCCCTTTGAGCATGACTGTGGCTGGTGTGGACTTGCCTTGCGGGCACTGGGGCAGGGTACAAGATAGGAGGTGTGGGGGTGCGGCCTCAGCCGGCAGGCTTTCTTTTCAAGATCCTTTGCTTCGGTTTGTCCTCCTGCTACGGAATGTTTCTGTGCAAGGGGCGGGGGGCGCGGGAAGAGGCCTGCGAAGAACTCTTGGTTCCTCCGTCTGGGGGCGCTTGGCGTGGGGCTGGGTGCCAGGTGGCAGGGTGTCCCGTGCTCGTTTTTCGGTGTGTGCTTTTCTCAGAAGGACCTCTTTCCTCTTGTCGCGGGCTGCTGCGGGTGTTCCGTGTGTTTCTGCGGCCGCCCGCGGTGCAGCTGGGAGTAGGGAGCGCTCCCTGGGCTCAGCCCGCTTCTCCCGCGTAGCGTTTTCCTTTCTTTTCTTTGCGTCTCTTCACTGTCCTCTGGCGTGGGTGTGCGTTTGTGTGTGTGGGAGTGTTGCGGGGGTGTTGCTCTGGAGCCGCCTCCGATGATTCTGCCTCTGTCTGCATCCCCAGAGCTGCTGGGTGCCCAGCCCTGTGCCGGAGGGTCTCCCTGCTGGTGGCTGTGAGCGACCTCAAGGTGGGGAAGGCTGGCCTCAGTGATTGAGTCTGGATATCAGCGCCCTAGAACCAACGGTGGTGCCCCTCTCTCCCCTGCAGCCAGCGACCGGGACTCACCGGAGACAGGCGAGGAGATGGGCCGTGCTGAGGGCACCTGGCCGCGAGGCCCCGGGCCAGGAGCGGTGCAGCGGGAGGCGGCGGAGCTGGCGGCGCGGGCCCCGGCGGTCGGCGCGGAGGAGGCAGCGGAGCTGGCCGAGGTCCCTGCGGCGGCGGGGGAGACACGCGGCGGCGTTGGCGTGGGTGGCGGCCGAAAGAAGAAGACGCGCACCGTCTTCTCCCGCAGCCAGGTCTTCCAGCTGGAGTCCACCTTCGACCTGAAGCGCTACCTGAGCAGCGCCGAGCGCGCCGGCCTGGCCGCCTCCCTGCAGCTCACCGAGACGCAGGTCAAGATCTGGTTCCAGAACCGCCGCAACAAGTGGAAGCGGCAGCTGGCGGCCGAGCTGGAGGCGGCCAGCCTGTCCCCGCCGGGAGCGCAGCGCCTGGTCCGCGTGCCCGTGCTCTACCACGAGAGTCCCCCGGCCGCGGCCGCCGCCGCGCCCCCGGCCACGCTGCCCTTCCCGCTGGCGCCCGCCGCGCCCGCGCCGCCCCCGCCGCTGCTCGGCTTCTCTGGGGCCCTCGCCTACCCGCTGGCCGCCTTCCCGGCCGCCGCTTCCGTGCCCTTTCTGCGGGCGCAGATGCCGGGACTGGTGTGAGCCCTGCCCGCCGGGCCCTCTCCCCGCGGCCCCGGTGGACCTCTGTGGACCCGAGATCCGGCGGCAGGTGCAGGGCGCAGGGGGCGTTAGGGGAGGGATGGCCGCTCCTTCGGCCTCCCAGGCACCATGGCACCTTGGGAGCGGGGGCCGCGCCAGACGGGCCTCAGCCCCTGTGGGGAGCGCCTCTAGAATGTAACGGGACGCCCCACCCAGTTGCCAGTCTGGATCTACACCGCAACAGCGGGTAATGCAGAGAATGGGCAGCGCAGTCCACGGCGCCATGGCCACTCCGAGCCTCAGCGATGAGCGGCCGGTCACAGCCGCCGGGGCAGCTACCCCTAGGCCAAGTCCAGCGCAGCACAGGAAAACTACGAACCGGCTGTCCAAGGCTGCGCAGATACTGTCCCCACAGACTGCCCCCAACACTAAACGTCCCTTTCCTGGGACCCGGACAGCAGGCCGACCGGAGGGCCGAGCCACCCCTCCCGCGGGCGCCGGTGGAGAAAGCACCCTGGACCTGTGGTCCCCACGTCCGTTCTGCGAGCAGGCGGGCTCCCTCCAGGCGCCCAGGCCTCCAGGTGGTTTTTTTTTTTTTAATGAATCTACTTATTTGCGTATGGAATAAAAAGGGACGTTTTCTGGACAGTTTCACTGTTTTGTGATCATGGGGGCAGGGACCCTTCAGGCTGCGGTGGGTGGCGTTCTTCCCTCCCTGGAGCACCTTTCAGTGCTGACGGGACACCTGGGGCCCAGGGATGGGCTGGTGCAGGTGGGCAGGGCAGATCTGTGTCAGAGGTGGTGAGCGCTGTGCCCCGTCTTCTATGACACCCCACAGAGAAGGGACAGGGAAGGGTCGGCCGGCAGCAGGGAGGAGGAAGCGGTGATGGTGTGTCCAAAGTTCTAGGGCCTTCACTGAAACTGAAGGCAGGAGCAGGTGAAGGCCGGGGCACGGGATGGCCGCTGGCATTTGTCGCAGGGGCTCCGGCTGTGTGGTGCCCGCGTGCACAGCCCTTTCCTATCTCATGTGGAATTTTTCTTTGGGCCAAAACAAAGCCGTGGCACTCAAGGTCAGGCCACTGTGCTCTTGCCTCCGGCCTTCCTCCCGGCCTGCAGTCTCTGGTCGGCTGGGGCACTCGGGCAAAGCTGTTCATGCCGGTGATGATGGGCTGTGAGGGACAGCTGGCACCCCTCTTGGACCATTGGGGCCACTGCACCTCCGTCAGCCCCAAGCCGGCTGCTTTTGGGTGAAGCCAGCCCTGCCCTGGGTAGGGGAGGGACATGTTTGGTGTGTGTTGGAGCCTACAGGAAAGGCGGCTTGAAAAGGTCACTTCCATGGACCAATTTTGTCCCTAAGAAAACCTGTCTCCCTCTGGCTCCTTCACTTGTGAGCAGACACTCCCCGGGTGAGCTGGGCAGCAGCTGGGCTACACGCTGAGCCTGGGGCCAGCAAGGTAGTGCCAGACGGCCAAGGAGACAGTTCGGGTCTGGGCTCAGTGCATCTGTCTGTGTGTCTCTGCCATCCAGCTCCTGACCCAGAATCGTGTCCTCCAAGTCCCGGCCCCTGCCAGGGCCCATCGGTTGGTTCCTTAATGTGAGGCCGGCTTCCGGCGAACCCTCAGGCCCACCCCTATGGGTTCCCAGGCCCTGCAGTGTGACGGTGTGGGCATTTTGAGAGACTCTTAGAGGGGGCAGCCATCCTTGGCCTCGCAGCAGCCCCCCCAACCCAGTCCCCACCCTGCAGGCTTGTGGCTGCCTGGACTCCTCCCACCTTTCCAAGGCTTGGGTCTGGCTCCCTCCCTGCTTTGGGGCTGCCCCCCAACTGCTTTCCTGGCTAAGCCAGGAATTCAGTTCTCACTTGGCTTTATCTGGGAGGGACTCAGGTGAGGCCTCAATAAAACTAAATGAACGCTCCCGGTTGGCAGCCTTGAGGGGCAGGGAGTGTCCCAAGAGGCCCCTCGTGGTCACTCAAGGACAAACCCCCTGCCCCTTCTCACGCCTCTCCCCACTGGGCCCTCTAGGCCTCAGTGCCCCTGACTCAGGCTCCTGGGACCCTCGCCCTCTGGACTTCTGTTGCTTTTGTGCTGGCCGCACCCAGTCACCGGACACATCACTGCAAGTCCTGGGAACAGACCAGGGCACAGCCGGCAACACCGTGGAGCCCGCAAGCCCCGCGCAGGCCAGTGAGCAGAAGCAGCAGCCTCCGCCTCTCCTTTTGAGGTCCAGGCACTGCGCGCCGTGGCACTGCCTTGGCCTTCCCAACGGCAATGCTGCTCAGGCCTGGCAGGGTCTCAGGGACTCGCACCAGGAGGATGCCTGCCTCCTCGGCCCTAGTGGAATGGGATCACTGAAGCTCCGGCTAAAGAGGTTATCACTGTGAGGCACCTATTTTATTCGACTGCTTCTGGCCAAGGTGGGTGCAATCCCAAGGTCGCGTGGTGACTGCAGGGCGCCTCTGAGTGCAGTGGTGGCGCCAGGTCCGAGGGCGAGTCCCCTTATGGGCGGATCAGTCACGGGTGGCCATAACTACTCCGGGAATCATCTGACTCCCGGCCACCAGGAAGCAGGAAGGGTGAGGGCCCTGTGGGCACTGGTTTCAGATCATCCGCTCTGGCTGCTGGGGAAACCATGGAACCGGTCACCGGGCTAGTCTCGGCCGCCAGCATCGGAGGGGCAGTCTGCACACTTCAAATGCAGGGCAGCTTCCAAGAGAGTGGATGTGTCTTTCGATAGAATTAGCTAAAAATCGGGCTGGAGAGCATTTTATGGGCCTCTGCTCAGGGCTCTCCCTGGTGGGAAGGAGGCTGCCGGTGTGGGAGGAGGGGACCATTCCCGAGCTCGGGGAAGGGTTGGGCCTGGAATACTGTTAAGAGAGAAAGGAGATCCCAAGCTGGATTAGGCCACTGGGCCCAGGGAAGTCGGCCGTGCCCTGTTATCAGTGGGGCTCTGGTGTGTTGGGGCTGGCACCGGAAGGCAGAATAATCCAGAGAGAAGCAGTGTAGAACTCGGAGCCCACGGAGCCCTGGAGGGTGCGCAGGACCAGGGTGGGGGTACGCCTGGCCCCCCTGAGCCCTGAGCTCCAGCACCATCGATCGCGGGCGCACCTCGGGCGCGTTGGCTCCACTGCTGGCAGATGATGAATGGCATCGATCTGTCTCCACCACATGCGCCATGTGCCCTCCCCCTCACCTCACCCTTCTGCACCTGAGGCCGGATTCCAGCCACCCTGAGCTGCTCAGGGCTTCCAGGTGCATAGCTGCGAGCACCGTGGGGTGCAACAGGCTCTGGATATCCTGGACACATGCCTTTGCTGGGCCCAGTCCAGCCTCCCCCACGACCGTAGTCACGCCCCTTCTCTTCTCCACGCCTCGGTCTCCCCATCACAGGCCCATGGTGAGGACTGGGGTCTGTAGTTTGTAAATGCTGGGCCTTCTGTGATTTGAGTGAGGCCAGCAGGGTACCCCAGGCCAGCAGGACCTCTCCCCCCAGCTCCCAGGGCCATGCTGTGGCGGGACTGGCACGTGACCCGCCTCCTCTGGGCCTCAGTGCTCTGGAACTACAAGAGCGGAATCCCCCTGGAGCTGGTCTGAGGGGTGGGAAATCAAGTGCCCCCATCCCCCTTAGAGTTGGATATCTGGAACCTCCGAAGGTGGAGTCCATGCCCGGAGCACCAGGAAAGGCCACTCAGGTGGTGTTTGGCATGGAGGACGTGCTGTCTGGGCATAAGGGTACTGTTGGGAGCTGACTATCAGGCAGAGATTCCCAGCCTAGCTCAAATTCCACAGGGATCGGAGCTGCCGGAATCCTGGAGGCCGACTGGGCCTGCCCCGTTTCCTCCAGGTGGCTGCACTGCCTTGGGACACTCCAAGCTCTTGGCCGAGAGAGCAGGCAGCAACAGGGCTCTGTCCTCCCTGCTTCCTCCAAAGCTGCAGTGAGGGACAGACCCGCGCCCGGGCACTGCCCTTGCAGCTGCTAATTCCCCTCTGCGCTCCACCCAGCGTGGCCTTTGCACTTCCGATCCCCACGGACTCCCATTCAGGCAGAAGCACCCTGAGAAGATCCTCCTCATCAGGCGCAGGGGAGCGGTGCCCAGTGCCCTCATCCAGCTGCCGTGCAGGGCGGTTTCCCAGAGCCTTGGCTCTGACCCCACCCTGAAGGCAACCCAGCCAGGCGGAGGCCGAAGGCACTGGACCAAGGTGGGGTGAGCCTTGCAAGGGAGGCGGGGAGTGGCCTGGCGGGCTTCTCTTTCCCTTTCTATATGTTGGTGCCTCTCCCACAAGAGTCTTTCGTGACCTTCTGCCCCATCTTGCAACTTGTCGGAAAGGGAAACCGAGGTTCTGAGAGGCGCAGGGGGCACTGAGGCTCCCCGCCACCCGCCGGAGGGAGGCCAGTGGGCGTGACCTGTGCCCGTACCGCTGCTGCTCCTCCCCGCCTGTCCACTCACCTGCTTCGTACCCTTCGGCCGCCCACCCCTCTGGCAGCCAGAGTGGGCATGCCTCTCAAGGGTCCTGCTGGGAAGTGGGGTCCCAGCCGCCGCAAATACGTTCCCTAGAAATGTCTCCTGGACCCCTCAATCCCTACGTCAAGGCGGATCACCCAGTGAATGGCTGCCCTGGAGGGAAACAGAGGTGAAAACCCCTTCACAGGTGGGCCGGAGAGGGGCAGCCCTGTCCTCACAGAGCTAAGCTCTGCATGTAAAGCCGGAAGGACCCACAGGACAAAGACGCAGAGAGGAGGCGAGAACCGCTAAGTGGTGGACGAAGCGGTGGACGAGCCAGCCTGGGGAGCCGACCGCCCTCGCCGGGTTCTGCAGCCGCGGGGCTCAGTTTTTTTGTTTTTTATTTTATTATAAAACTAATAGTGCTTGTTATTATCTGGACATGGCAGTCAAGTTCAAATGTTAAATGTCTGCACTTCCAACATCAAAAGCCAACTGCCTCTGAGTGTTGGGTCAGGCCGTGGATTTACTGGAAATGATGATTTATGCCGTATTGTTATTTTGTAAAAAGTTCTTATCGGTGAAAAGGCATTTATGTATTCACCGGTGAATATGTGACTACCTTACAGTAAGGCAACAAAAAGTAAGTTAGTAAAATTAAAAGGAGGCGAATAGAGGAAACTAGACGAGTCAGGCGGTCAGAGCTGCGGGATGGCGGTGGGTATATGGGAGTTCACTTGAAGGCTCCCTCGACTGTTTTATATTTGAAAATTTCCATAATAAAATGCTTTAAAAAGTGACTACCAGGAAACTTAGGAGCGTGTGCCCCAGCGCTGAATCTCTGCCGGGGGCTGTTTCGGTTGCAGGTTTATTCTGCCCAGTCGGGGTCTCACTTTGGTCCAGCTTGTACTCTGCTTTT